GGCGGCGGAGGGTGGCCATCATCGGTCGATGGAGCACGGCGGTCGATGGCGAAGGATGGCCGCCGATGGTGGGTGACCGCCGGCGTCGGGTGGCCAGAGGCGAGAGGTGGCCGGCGGCCGAGGGCAGCCAGCGCCGGATGGTGGCCGATGTCGGGCGGTGGAGCACAATGGCCGGCGGCGGATGATGGCGGCCGGTGGTGGGTGGCCGGCGGCGGCGGAGGACGGCGACCGGTGGTGGGTGATCACCAGCGTCGGGTGGTTGGCGGGGGGAGGCGGCTAGCGCCGGGTGGCGGCCGGCTTCAGGCGATGAAGCACGGCGGCCAGCGGTGGAGGACGACGGCCGGTGGCAAGTGGCAACAAGCGTCGAGCGGCGAAGAACAGTGGTCGACGACAAGAGGCGGCCAGCGGGCGGGAGGCGGCCGGCGAGCGTTGGCCGGCGGGCGGCGGCGGCGGAAGGCGGGCGGTAGGTGGCGGCGAAGGACGGCGAGAGGCGGCGGTGGGCGGGTTGCGGCCGATGGATTGTTTCTTATTTTTGGAGAATTCTAGAAAAAAAATCGTTTCTTTTTTCTTGTTCCAGAAACAAGAAGCAGATTTTTTTTGCTTCTTGTTTCTGTTCCAAATCTATTTCTGGAACACTTTTTTGTTCCAGAAACAAAAAAATAGATTTTTTCTACTAAACGGATTCCTGTTATTTTTCTGTTCCGGGGAACAAAAGAACAGAAAAATAAAGAAACAAAAAAGTTACTAAACAGACCCTAAATTTCTTTTTAGTTGTGAAAAATTTTCCAAGAAAGGAAGGAAATTTGTATGAATCCACGATTAAGTAAGGGTATATAACTGTTTATAGGTACAAGGTAAACAGGTTCAATGAAAGTGAATAAGGTAATTGATGCATTGCGCACAGAGTCTTACAGCTTAGACCGGTAGTATCATACTTAAATTGATTAAATCATGGTCCTTTGTTACCAGTCGAGGATCGAGTAGCAATGATTTAGCCTCATACATCAAAGATTTTGTTGAGCGATACCCTGACTCATCCATGTGCTATCACTAAAGTTGGAAACAAGTTAACCTTCTTTTATAGAGAATTTAACATGTACATGTGTTTACCTGTTCGAGTCGCTTTAGGAGAGAAGTTTTGTACTGCTGGGCATCCCGTCCAATAGAATCACGGTCTAGTTTGTGCGTTACTTTGTGCGTTATTTCAAAAGCGTAATGCCGGCCTGCCAACATGCCAAAGAGATCCAAATGAACAATACAAAAGATGCTTACAGCCCGCCAACTTCGGAACCAACTAATAATCATCCCCTACACATGAAAGTCGGGATCAATAAAAAAACTGAGTTTTCAAACTCCAAGATCTTTTGAACTCCCTTTCTCTTCGACACGTAATTGTCGATTTCAATGTTGAACGATGAAAATTGCAGTTGTAACTTACCATCTAGAGTGCTATTGAACTAAAAAAAAAAATTCTGGACCCTCTTCCACTTTGCATTGCCATATCGTGAAGCCTAGTTTAGAGGGAACGCTAAATTGCCGGTAAAGTCTCCATTCTGACATGTCAGTCAACTAAATACTTACCAAAACTTTGACACACACACGTAAACTTTGAACAGCTCACGATTCTTCGCGTATATTCAAGTTTCTTTTTCCGAAGAGCAAGACATTCTAAGACCAAATTGAAACTCCCTTACATAGGTAAGCAGTATGAGGCTCCTCGCGCTCTATCAGATTGGCGACGCGCAGGAACCTCTGAATCTCCGGAGACAATTTGACGGGCAACCTCTCGCTCTCAAAGGGCTCTGGTCTATACTCACGATCACTGCAAAAAGGGAGAGACCTCGTAATGGGTCCCGCGCTGCTGCTATTAGCTGAAGCAGCAGTAGCATAACGCCCTTCATCTGGTGCGGGAACGAAATCTGCAGGCACAATCCCAGCCATGGAAGCGAAAACACTGAGCGACGAAGATGAGATGGAAGGCATGACTGTGGAGGTGTATATAATTGGGATATCTCGCATTTATCAAAGTCTTCGGAATTAGTAAGCTTAGCTCATAAGAATGTTAAAAAAAGTCTTGTAGTTTTGTTCGCTGTTTGACTGTTGAACTTTTATGTTAGATCAATTTGATCTTCGTTCGTTCTTTTTTATAGAATCGATATAGTCGTTTAAGTTAATTTGGTCCAATTCGCATCTGACATGGTAATTCAACTTAATCATGTTCCCATTTACTGATATGAACCACACGGAGCAATCCCAATAGAATTTTTTTTCAAAAACTGTTAGCTTGACCAAAGAAAAGTTGATAAAGTACTTAAATTAGAATTATATGTGAGAGTTGATAAAATTAAGACGTAATTATTATAGTAAACTAAAGTTGGTAATTAAAGAAAAATGAGCTTGTGTATTTCATTTATAAGAGCGTTGATAACCCAAAACTAATTGGAAAATAAAATAATAGTTAACGAGTAACTTTGTCAAGGTCGATAATTTGTTTTAAAAGTCGGCAGATCAAATGCAATATTCGTAAGTAACTCAATGGTAAGTCATGCTAACTTAGGTTGTTTATCTCTAAAAAGTGCTAGCAAATCCAAGGGATTGCAAAATAAGGTAAATTAAAATCGGTGCCTCAATTTACAAGTTGGTAAACAAAAATCAATTTGTAGGTAATTTAAATGAAGATAGTAACTCTAAACCAGTTGGTCATTCAATTTTTAACAAAAGTTGGTCAATCATTCTAGATTTAGGTTGGCAATTTCATGTAAAATTTAACAAATTCGAAGCCTTGGTACATTATGCAAATAAAAGCTGATAAATTAATACAAAAATTGCTATTTTGCAAATTATTAAAAAAAAACTTGGTAATTTCATCAACGTATGATAAGTTACCAACATGTTACCTAGAAGAAAAAAAGTCGCACCGGCCAATTTCTTTACATATAGCTTTTTGACACTTTCCAACGCTTACTGAAATTTACCGGCAACTATCCATATTCCTGACATAGAACAACTCAATTCTACCGAACAATGTGAATGAAAATGGCCAACAAATCAAAGGATGGTCCGAATCGTACCATGCAATACATACGAATTTCCTTCCATTTAAAAAAAAAGAGAGAAAAAAGGAAAAAAGAGAGAAAAAGTAAAATAGCAATAAAAATTCATAAAAATTGTCCACGTTAGTACTGGTGGTGTCACATCAGCGATTTCCAGCCAAAGTTGGTCGAATTGACTGAATTGGCATAAATTCAAAAGGTTTAGGACCCAATTGACAAAAAAAAAAGGTTTTAGATTGAATTTGCACAATTACAATAAATATAGGACTCTTCCAGTAATTTTTTTGTTGAGATGCACAAAGACTAAAACCAAACCATGTCTTTCGTAATTTTAAGTGTACAAAAACTAATGTGGTTGATTTCTTTTGAAATCATTTAATGTATAGTGATGAAAGCATTCTTTGATTCTTACGATATATTGAAATAAAATAAAATTCAAACCTCAAACGAATTCACTAAATTATCAGACGCTTAGTTTGCAGGTCGCAAAATGTATGTTTGAGTGATAATGTCTCCCACTTATCGATGCACGTTGAAGTAATGGTTTGAGTACATTCATAAGGTTCGATTGAGCAAATATGCTCGAAGATTTCGTGTTATGTAAAAAAAGCTATTTTTTTATTAGAGAAATAATCAATTCATAATAAAAGCTAAGTAGGCCAATTTTTTTGTTTTTGGCCCAAATTCAGTTGATCCGTTAAAAATTGCAAGAAGTCTAAATTGCACGAAAAAAGAGTTATAACAAATAAGAATCGGCTGCTGCTCGTTATGAGTCATTTACTCATTTGTACACTTACACGCACCTATGTCCTCAACCTTAAAGACTCCTTTTTTCCTTTTCCCCAATTTTACGATTTTGCCTTCGCACTTCTTTCTCTCTCTCAATAACACAAGAAGACATACTCACATTCTGTACAATATTATCGGCCAGCCTCAGGGACACAGACGCCACCCTAAGCCATCGATCCCCCGTCATCTCTTTTAGTCCGTCACGAGTCGGATCCGAGCTTAGGACATTGGATCCAACAAAACCGAGCTCAAGATTAGGGCATCGAACTTGGGCAGCCTAAGTTTGGCGTAGCCCGAGGCCGACGGCCCCATTTGTGTTCTCCTTTAGTGCCAGCTCAAAAGAACAAACAAGGATAGAGGCATCAAATTCGAGCAGAATGATTACATGTGATCAAGTGTGCAAATATACCGTACGAAACACCAATAAACGGATATTGAATTCTTGCCCATCTAGAATGTATATATGTGGTTGATTTGTGGATGAGATTTAAGCCAAAAAGGGTGGAAAAATCACCACTTTTACGAAAAACCATTCAACTAAGCTATAATCAAAAAGACAAGGAGAGGACGTTAGAACTCGCCGATGGAAGTGGAAGCAGCAGCTCTCCTTCTCGCTTGCAATTATGCTCAGTCCCTGGGCATTCGAAAAGCGATATTTGAAATCGATTGTAAGGTCTTAATTGATGCCATCCAACAAAAGGGTCTTTGCCCTTGGAGTATTCAACCTTTCGTCAAGATTCTCGCTTTCAATTTCAAAGACAATCCAAGTTGGAAATGGACGGACCCGTAGATCCAAGAATGGAGCAGCTTCACGCAACTTGCAAATTGGGCCTCTAATCATATAGGCACCACATCCTCTTTTCTTTACCATGATCTCCCTTCTAGAGTTAAAAATATTGTACTAATAGAGTCTTTTTTTATATTTCGTTCTAATGTAGGTAATGCTTCCTTTTTGTAATCGCCTTGTTTGCAATATAAAGTTTAATTTCTAGCAAAAAAAAAAGCTATAATCAAAACAAAAACAAAAAGAAAGCAAAATAGGAAGAGAGAGAGATCCACGTGTACGTAGAAGATTCAGCACAAAACCCACCAGAATCGCCCATCCTTGTTGGTTTATTTACAATTTTGCCATCGGTGAAGCTTCAGCACGAACCTCTCTCGGGACGTTTGTCATCCACATTCCACTAGGGTTTAGCGGCGAACGCGAGTTTTTGTTACTGCCGCGACCTCTCTACTGCCCACCCGTTCGACGAATTGCCTGAAAACAATGGGGCGCAAGGCGAAGAAATTCATCGACAAGAAGAAGTCGGCGACCTTCCAGTTGTTGTCCCGCGACTCCGCCGACCCCGGCTTCGACGACGCTCCCGGCGGCGACCGCATCTTCGTCCGCGTCGACAACAACCCTTACTCGGCCGGTACCTTGGAGGACGCCGACAACGACGGCGATGGCGGTGACGATCCGATGTCGATGTACGCGGACGCGCCCGGCGACTGCGACGGCGGCGGCAGCGATGACGGCGCGACGGGAGGTGTGGTGGGGACTCGGGGTGTTGGAGGTGGAGGTGGAGATGTTGCGTCGGCGTCGCGGCTGCCGGAGCATGTCAGGAGGGAGATTCTGGAGCTTGGGTTCCCTGACGATGGTTATAATTACTTGTCGCATTTGAGGGAGATTAGGAATGCGGGCGGTGGTTCCGCTTTTTATCAGAATTCTAAGGCGAGGCTTGATCTGGTTCCGAAAGATGTCAAGGTTGGTCTTTTGATGTTGTGGTATTCTCTGTTTCGTTTGCAATCTTAGTGTTCTTGGGGATAACTTTGCTTTGGATTAGCTGTTTGAGGTTAGTGTAAATTGCAGCATTTGAGATGTGAGTGTTCTGCTAGATTAGATTGCGTTCATCTGAGGTTGGGATTACAGGATATGAAAGAAAGTGGAGTTTTTTCTCTTTTTTTTGCTTATTTGGTTGGCTGTTGAGGTGCCTGAATTTGTGTTTTTACCATTTTATTATATCTACATTTGTCTCGAGGCTTCAGTGTTTGGGATGTGGTTCATGAGGACCAACTTTATTCAACTTCTTTGATTTCAGGCTTATGATGCTTCACGGGTACAAGTTCCTAAAGCAGAAGGTGATCCTAATGATAAATCGATTTATAGTGTTGCAGCCAATAGTGTTAATGTGAGAGTACAGAAAGCCATGGATCCTGAAGTTGCTGCATTACTTGATGATAGTGACCTCTCACGGTTTGGGTCTGATGTCGAGGACTTGGAAGAAGATTTTGTTGTTCAGGCAAACCATCCTGAAGGCGAGGACAGTATTGCGGACGAAAATTCGCAATATTCCGGGATGCCTGAAGTGATGGGGAGAGTCGTTAATGGATCAGGTACTTCTGCTGGTCAAGAGAGACAAATTGACAATGGCTTTCCTCATGAAATAAGAAGTCGGTTTGTGGAACGAAATGGCGACTTTGACGACGAGAAGCCACGAGAACATCGTGAGCTGGATGAGCTATTTGATCTTGTAAGTTGTTTAATTTTTCCTCATGCTAGTATATGCTTTCTTGATTCTGATAATTGACTCGATAAGTGGATGAGCTGATAAAACTGTCTCTCTTTTTTTTACTCCGACAAGTTTGTGAAAAAAAATGACTCGGATTAATGCCTAGGCACCAAAAGTCAAAATGACATGCTTTCAGCTCTTAGCTTGCGGATAATAGATTCATAGATTCTGCTGTCCCTTCCTTTTTCAGTGAATGATGGTGAATCCGCCTCTACTTTAGCCTTCTACCTGACTGCAGGACAATAGCAGAGGCACATATAATTTGTTGGATATCACTTGGCATTTTATGCGTTGTTGTTCAAGTGCACTTGATGGGCTGACAATCCATTACCCCCGTTGGACTGTCTTACTGAATTTTAGCTACTGTCTCTCTCTCTCTCTCTAACCGTTGTGGTTGGATTTGGTTACACCTTTTTTCCCCTCTTTAGAAGAGTCTGTTGCTGGTATGGTCTGTATAATAAGAATCCTGCCATCTTTTAAGACCTAGCCTTGAGGTGCTTTTCTGCATCACTTGTTAGGAGATTTTGAAATCATGTGGTTGGACTGCTTTTGCTGAAAAAGAAAAAGTATTGGTTGGACCTCATCATCCTAACTCATGAGGTTCTTCTTCGACTCCGAGTAGATTGATGCTAGCCGTATACTGAGTTCTTGTGATATTGGTGTTTTTGACTCTATTTCTGTGAGTGCTTATGCTAATCTGGATGGATGTTGAGCATGCCTTGTGATAAAATCATCCGCTGAATTAGTGGGATAAGTTTGAAGATAAGTTCAGATGAAACTAGTCACTTTATTTATACATATGGTACTGGAAGTTGTTAGAAACTGTGCATTTTGGCCTGAGTTGCATCCGCATCAGACACTGAATCGACGGTAACTCAGACAATTTCTTTTAATTATTCTTTGTCTCCTCCGCTCTCGTTTCCCCTTCTTAAATGCTGAAATTTCTCTACTGGTAGCAGAATTCCCATGAGCTAGTACTATTCAGCCGATGTTTGACATCATTCCTTTAGTTTAACTGACTTAAATCCGTTTCTTTTTCTGATATCTGATGTTTTTCTTCTTTATTGTTTGAAGCTTGAACGTCAAGAGTACGGATCTGAGGAAGACGAGGATGATGGTTATGGTGGTTGTATGGCCGAAGAAGATGAATCTCTTGCTCTGAAACTCAAACAGGCCTTTGATGACAAAGTTATGGATGATCTGGAAATTGATGACAAGTATAGAGTTCCAGCTGATTTATTAAAGGATAATGAAGTGAAAAGCAAACAGCTACAGGATTCTGCTGCTGATTTGATCCGTCGTTGTGTGGAATATGCAGACAAGTATGAAAATGAGAATGATGACAAAGAAGTAGTTATTGTGGAAGAAAGTAGTGATGAATCTGAGGTGTGGGACTGTGAAACTATTGTCTCTACATATTCGAATCTTGATAATCACCCAGGCAAAATTGAAGCACCTGAGGTAGCCAGAAAGAAGAAATTGGCCAGTACAATTTCTGTTGCTTTAGGTGCGGCCAATCCGTTAATACCCCTCAGAGGAAAAGAAAAACTCCCTGTTGACTATATGCCTCGGAGCATGAAATCATCGGTGGAAAAGGTCAAGGGTGGCAGTGTCTCGAGGAATGAGCAGCCCATGAGGAAACAGCCTGGTCAAGAGTCAAAGGAAGAGAAGAAAGAGCGCAAGGTAAATACCTGCTTCCTGTAATTCTTATCGAGAAATTTGTTAAGCCATTTTGAGTTTCATCCCTTTGTGCAACTTTGTTGCTTTGACTAGAGGGAGAGGACTTTTGTATGGTGTATGTACTTCAGTTTCTGGCCCTTAAGAGAGCGGTTCCTTCAATTGTATTCTATCGTCTAAGATGTTCATCTGAATATAAATTCAGGCTGCCGTGAAGGAGGAAAGACGGGAAGCACGTCGCGTGAAGAAGGAAATGAAGGGAATTTACAGGTGTGAAGCGCAGCGGGCGCAAAAAGCGGCTGCCATCACCGGCCCGTCTTCCATCCCTCTCATGTAGTTTAAGTTGAAGTGTTTCACCTACCGGACGGGATTGAGTCCAACGGGATGAAGAGTCGAAGCTTGCATACCCTCTTGTCTCCAATTGGATAGTGTGGCAACTGGACATGAAAGCTGTAACGCTAGGATTTTTAAGTTTTACTTATTCACACATGTGAACGCTGTCGTGTGGGGTGTGTGCATCCTGAACGTGGATGAGATTTGATGACACTAAGGAAAATTATCGACTAAGGAAGCTAAGGGGAGACCAACCTCGCTCACCTTTTGGCACAGGCTGTCGTCTGATGAAAGCGAAAAGGGCTCTTGGCAGAGAAGTGTCATTGCCCATAGAAAAGCTCCTGCTGAGAAATTGCAAATTTCAAGATTCAACGGTTGACAGTAAATTGTCGAATGACAACTTCGCGATCCCCAAAAGTAAAAGAACGGTAAAGCAATCACAAAGGGAGAATGATGCACTCGTTTCTGCGTTTAGTGCGCATTTAGAATCATCTTTTTCAGAACTTCACTTGCTCAGATTCATCAAAACGTAAGCAAGCTTATAAAGGATGTAATTCAGGGGACAACCCAAAGTCCTGGAGATCACAGTTGTATGCCTTTGCGCTACATGGAGGTAGGGCTGTGCAATCGGACAGTTTTTATCCGGACCGGACCGCCCTAAAAACCGGTCAGCTTCTGGAACCGGGGGGAACCAGACCGTATTCGAAGCCGGTTTTATAAACCCTGAAATCCTTAATTTTTCTCAACATCTTTTTTTCTATCCCCCTCTTTTTTCTATTCTCCCCAAACTCACTCAACACTTCACAAGCCACCCTCCTCCTCACGAGTCACCCAAACTCTCTCTCTCTCTCTCTCTCTCTCTCTCTCTCTCTCTCTCTCTCTCTCTCTCTCTCTCTCTCTCTCTCTCTCTCTCGAACTCGAACGAGTCACCCTCCTCTTCACTCGCTCATAGCTTGCCCGCGTTCGTTCCTTACTCGCCTTTGCACACTCACCTTCATTCATCTTTTATTTTGAATCGATTTGTTACTCGTATTATTTTGCTGTACAAATGAGACTAAAAAAGAAACAAAAGAAAAACAAGTGTTCGGGTAGATCTTAGAACCAGAATGGGAAAACAAGGTAGGTTTCAGGACAAACATGGTAGATTTCAGGTTTCAAAAACTGAGAACTGATTCTAACAAGATAAGTTACGGGTTTTAAATCTGAAACCGATCAATCCCACGTGGTAGATTAGGTTACAAGGCAAAGAAGATTATATTGCCCGTGCTCTGTCCTATTTTTAGAGTAAAATTAATGAAGCATGAGCAAAAGCCAACCCTTATCATACCATATAATAAATTTCTCACAGAACCCAACACGCTTTTTTCGAATAGAATCATCTATCTATCTTGTGAAACATATATTACAACTCAATTTAAGGCCAAAAAAGATAAAGAAAAAGAAATACATTGAAAACTGGGTATATATTTCTCGGTCTTTTTGCTGTAGATCAAATATATTTATCAATAGGCGTACTGAAGAAATTGTTATGTAGGCTTGGTCTAATGAGTTATGCAAATCGCATTTATATTATATAATTTTTTGATGATATTTTATTTTCAAGGGGTAGCAATCCTTTTCCCCCCCTAAATTAGATTTTTTAATAGTTTGTCAATAGTTTGACCAAACAAAAATAGTTTTTCAATATACAAATGTGTAAATTGATATTCCTATTGTATCGCTCACATATTTAAAATTTAAAATTTGAATAATTGTTTATCTTATAAACAGTTTTACCAAGAAAATTGTAAATTGATTTTCGCTTTTCTTACATTTGTGTACAATTTCTTCACATTGTGCCTATAATTTATTTTCACAATTTAATAATACGAAATATCGATAAAAACAATTTCGTCAAATCTTTTAAATGTCAATTTTTATTTGGAAATGTAGTTTTTGCTTGTAGTTAACAAATAAAAACCAAGAAAGAGGCAAGACTCAGACTGGAGGGTAGGAAATTATTTTGTGTCAATTATTTATGTTATATCATACCATAGTCAAAAGTTTTCGAAGCGATCAAACTATTTTTTTTAACATTAGAAATGAGTGAAAATGTATGGATTCATGTCGGAATGTCTCGATTTCGGAGATTTTTGTAGCTTCGACTCTTCTCCTTGCTTCAGCCATGTTAGCAAAACAAGATGCTTCCTTCTTCTGTAAACCGCTCCTCCTCTTTCGTTTTTCAGTCCAAAGTCTTCAGCACCAGAAGGTCCTATCCAAGCCTATTACTAATGCTGCAACAAGAAGCGACGGAGCGAGCAGCTCCCTCGTTTACTGCAACACCCAGATCACGAAGCATGGAAGAAACGGTCGCGTCGAAGATGCTGAGTCCGTCTTCCGGTGGATGCCCTTCAAGAGTACCGTTTCTTGGACCGCCATGCTCACCGCGTATGCGGACAACGGGCGGATTCGGGAAGCCCGGCAAGTGTTCGACGAAATGCCCGACAGGAATACCGCTTCGTATAATGCGATGATCACTGCCTACGTCCGCAACAATTGGAATGTCAATAAAGCTTATGAGTTGTTCGCTGAGATTCCTGACCGCAATGCGGTCTCTTACGGTGCCATGATCACGGGGTTTGTTCGGGCAGGGAAGGTAGACAAAGCGAAAGAACTTTACCTTTCGATGCCGGTCAAGTGGCGAGATCCTGTGTGCTCGAATGCATTGATAAGTGGGTATTTGAAGTCGGGGGCACTCGAAGAGGCGGTTTGGGTTTTTGAGGGTATGGCACAGAGAGATGTCGTTTCCTGGAGCTCTATGCTGGACGGATATTGCAAGAACGTTGGCGTTGGTGCTGCCAGAGAGCTGTTCGATAAGATGCCGGAGCGAAATGTTGTATCCTGGACTGCTATGATTAATGGGTATATGAAGATGGGGCATTTTGAATGTGGTTTTGATCTTTTTCTGGACATGAGAAAGGAAGGAACAGTAAGGGTGAATTCTACGACACTTACTGTTATGTTTGAAGCTTGTGGCGACTTTGGGAGGTCCCAGGAAGGAATTCAGATCCATGGATTGGTGTATCAACTTGGACTTGAATTTGATTTATTTATAAGAAATTCCATTATCAAAATGTATTCTAGTTTTGGCTTTGTAGATGATGCTATTAAGATTTTTGATTCAATGGACGAAAGGAACGAAGTCACATGGAATAGTTTAATCTCTGCTTATGTCCAGAATGATAGTATTGGAGAAGCCTATCGTCTATTTGCAAAGATGCCTGGGAAGGATGCAGTCTCTTGGACAACTATTATTTCAGGATTTTTTGGAAACGGAATGATTGATGAATCGATTAAGCTATTTGAAATGATGCCTTTAAAAGATGACATTGCCTGGACGGCCATGATATCTGGTTTTGTGAAGAATGGCGAATTTGAGGAGGCATTCCATTGGTACATTCAAATGCTTCAGAAAGCAATCAAGCCTAATCCTCTTACCTTAAGCAGTGTGCTAAGTGCTTCTGCTGCTTCGGCAACACTGAACCATGGTGTACAGATTCATGCTCATGTTGTGAAGATGGACCTGGAGCATGTTCTTTCTACGCAGAACTCATTAATATCGATGTACTCAAAGTGTGGAAGCGTTCTCGATGCCTACAGAATATTCACAGAAACAACTGACCCTAACATAATATCTTACAATTCTATCATCACTGGGCTTGCGCAAAATGGATTTGGTACAGAAGCTCTCAGATTATTTAAAAAGATGCAGAATGCAAGTCAGGAGCCTAATGGAGTTACATTTCTTGCCATTCTCTCTGCATGCACTCATGTAGGGCTTGTTGAAGAAGGATGGAACTATTTTAAATCCATGAAGTCATTATATGGGATAGAACCGGGGCCCGATCATTATGCTTGCATGGTTGACCTCCTTGGCCGAGCTGGATTGCTGGATGAAGCTATTTGTTTGATTAGTTCGATGCCTCTTGAGCCCCACCCTGGTGTTTGGGGAGCCCTTCTTAGTGCAAGTAAGATGCACTCACGGGTTGATCTTGCAGAGCTTGCAGCTCAAAAGCTGATCAAGTTGCAGCCCGATAATGCAACATCTTACGTTGTTTTGTCCAACCTTTATTATTCCTCTGGGAAGCATGACTTTTCTGACCTTGTTAGAATGGCCCAGAAATCTAAAAGAGTGAGAAAGAGTCCAGGATGCAGTTGGATTATGATGAAGGGCAGTGTCCATTTGTTCCTCGCGGGAGACAACTCCCATGCAGATATCGGAGATATAGAAGCTACTCTATGCACTATCTCAAAGGAAATACAACTTTTAGAATCTCAGTTGTAATGGCTCCTCAATCCTCTCATCTAATCTAATGATAAATGTATTCAATTGTCATTGATAATGGGGTCGCAAGTCATCCAGGATACTTCTGCATACTGTTTTCGAGCGCAGAGCCAGAGCCTTTTTGGGGGTTGGTGCTTCTCTCTGAAACAACAAGGTAAATGGAGAATTTGATCTTCCATCTGTCTCATCTGTTGGATCAGCCTCCACTGCAGATAAATCGACAATCATTTCACTGCTCAACTTGCATATCCTTCTGACATTAAAAGGTATAGTACTAATTAAATTTAAATTGATGTAATTTCTGTCTCACATTGTGTTGAAACGGTTCTTCTTTATCCATGGGCAATGAGTTTCTGTATCCGTATTTGCAGGAGTAGGTGGACGTACTCATGAAGGCCTTTTCGCCATGCATAAACTAAACCAACAATTAGGATGATTCCCCCAATCTTGTGCTTAATTACTCTCATACTTCTTATAATTGCCTTTTGTTGACCGACAGGAACATGCAATGTGTTAAAGAATGCACTTAGATTTGGAAGTAGCTGTTTTGCAGGCAGTGGGAGATTACCTGCAATCTGTCCTTGACGTTCTTTTGTTCGGCAGGGGGCTAGCCACTGTGCATTATCGCCAATGGTCGAGTCACAGGTGATGTGCATCATTAATGCTGCACCTTAAAGCTGCTAGGTTGGAACATTTTCCTGGTGCTTCTTCAAATTCGGAGCTGCACCATGCTGGTCACTGGGGTCACTTCCCTTTGCATGAGCCATAGCTTTCTTGTGCTTCTCACTACCATTGCTTTTTGCAATCAGTGGATCTTACTCAATTCCAAAAAATCTGAAATGCTCCCTAAAGGCTCAACGCATCACATGTTCCTCACTTGGCCAAATCTTAATGGCCTGCAAGAGTAATGTGGGTGGCGACAAATTAGTAATGGCAAGGCGCGAAGGCAGGTTTTTGCTGTCCACGCAGTTCGTATATTCGTCCTCACAAGCTTCCGATGGTTGTAGCACCACTTGTCACCATAGCAGCCGCTTATCAAAATGTTAAAAAGTGTTTGTGGGGAATTATAGCGTTGGAAATATCAGCCTCAATGGCCACTCTATTATTATTCCATGATCATAATCAAATCTATCATTAACTTACTAATTTATTTAAAAAAACTCTATTTAATGAGGTAATTATTATGACGAGAATGTACCAAAGCGTTGAACTTGTGGATATTCACGATGCAAATCTAAGTTAATATCGTTTAATGGGTACTGATTTCTTTCCTTTTTTTTCGCAAAAATGACACGTTGCAGCCCGCACTTCGTTGGAAATTGGAATACGGCATCTTGTTCCTTTTATGTGGTTGTGGGTAGCCTCAGATTTTCATTTTGTTCGGTATATATGTGAACATGTGGACGTCGCGAGGTCCGCTCGACGCATTTGATATTTCGGAGTCGGCCCTTCTCCTCTTAACTCCTCCCCATCTTCTCGGACCGACCAACCACCATGGCCGCGGCGAACATGTTGCTCAAGCTTTCAGTGCTCCTCAACCTCTTGTCCAGCTCGCACTTGGGACTTTGGCCGAATCAGAAGCACGCGACGAGGGTGTCCCCGCCGACGTGCGACCGCATCGAGTGCCCGAGCTTCGACGTCGTGCACGTGGGCGACGGCTACGAGATCCGGCGCTACAATTCCACGGTGTGGATGTCCACTGCTCCCATCCCCGACATCTCTCTCGTCGAAGCCACTCGCTCCGGCTTCCGCCAGTATGATTCCTACATCTTTATTATCACTCTAGTAATTCCATTGCCATCCTTATGTCCAATTCATGTCCCGATCGAGTCACGATCGAGTCGTGCTCTCGTGTCGAGAATTGCAATCCTTGCTTTGCTAGCTTGAACCATATAGATCCTCATTCCTCCTATTTAGCTTAGGCCAAATCAATGGCGATGGTGTGCCAGGAGAGTGCCCTCAAGAGTGATGCCCAGAACGGTGATACTGATTTACCAGGATCTATAAAGTGACCTGATAAACTATAACTATGCCATAGCCCCCGACAATAGTTTGCTAGTTTGCTTTTTTAATTGTATCTCTAGTATTATTCATGCCATAATACGGCTGTTGGCCTAAATTAAGTTAAAGGGTCTGTAGAATTCCACATAATTCATCGGTGTTGTTGGATTAGCTTTTGAACGGATTGACAAATTTACAGGTTGTGGCCCCTGTGACCATCATTTCGTAGTTTCCGACTTCCATTTAATTGGAATCGGTTTCCACGAATTAGCTTAGGCTCATGCATGAGAGAGCTTTGATGTGTAAATTAAAAAGTCAGTGCGACATCTATTTCTATAATAGCTAGATGTATCGACACAGTATCACGTTACATGTAATTCGATAGCAGTGTGGGGTATTGAAACTTTTGGATGACTGAAGAAAAGATTACCCATATTTGTCAATCATCTTTTCCTCATTTAATCCATCTTGGTGATCAAAGTTTCATATGTGATTGGATTGAATCGATTTAGTCATTCGCATGAAACTCCTGAGTGAAACATATAGCTGAGAATTAGATCTTCGTAGTCTGTCTAAAAATCGCTCCTAATTGATTCTCAGGCTATTTGACTACATACAAGGTAAGAACAGCTATGAAAAACAGATAGAGATGACGGCACCAGTGATCACCGAGGTCTCTCCAAGCGATGGTCCGTTTTGTGCATCCTCGTTTGTTGTGAGCTTCTATGTGCCAAAAGAGAACCAAGCGAACCCGCCCCCAGCAGAAGGCCTCCACGCTCAGAGGTGGAAGCTCATGTACGTCGCCATTAGACAGTTCGGAGGATTCGTCACCGACTCTGATGTTGCAGTGGAGGCAGCTGCCTTGGAAGCCAGCCTTAGTGGCACTACTTGGGCTAATGCCATCCAGAAGAGCCGTGAGAAAGAGAGCAGCACAAGCACTTCGGTTTACACAGTCGCACAGTATAATTCTCCGTTCGAGTTCGAGAATAGAGTGAATGAGATATGGATGCCGTTCGACATGGAAGATGCTTCCTCTATGTGAATGAGAGAGCAAAGGATAGAGAAGTCTCTCTAGTTTTTACATGTAGTTTAGTTTATTGGAGAACTTGCACCTTCCTTGCATGTTTCTTAACCAAGAATGAAAAACAAAGTAGCTGCCATGTGATATCCTACTTTGATTTGATTGTATCAAGCATCATATAACCTTTTGAGTTCCGGATATTTTTATCTTTTCTCCAATTGAGGTCAATGATTGTCGAGATGCGAAATGCAGTCATTCATTGCGGTTCCGTATGTCAAGCTACCATATGAGAAGTGTTTTCGATAGATCACAAGTGAGGACAGGTTATTAACCCTCCTTTGAAATTATTATCGCCTTAAATTAACTGTCACATGACATTATCAACTTTTATTTGAGTGACTCTTCAATTTTACTCCGATTAAGTTGTTAATTAGTTTAGGTTACCAACCCTTATTTGAGTTACTTACTGATCTTTATTTATTACCCAATTGGTTAGTATAAAAATAAAAGTTGGTAAGCTAGTATGGAAATTACTAATTTGCCGACTATATAAAAAAAGCTGTGTGCATTAATAAGTTACCAACAAGGCAAAAGTCTTGGTTAACATTTTTTACAAACAGTATTTTCACACTTACCTACTTTTATTGAAATTTATCCGCATGAAAAGAAAATCTATATTTTTGGGTACAAAATATACAATCCTGCTTTTAATATAATTTGGGCAAACTATCGTGTATAATTAGTTCGAATAGAATGTTAAAGAAATGGCATGTATCCAAGCATTTCTGCATAAAATGATGTTGTAAATCTCAACCTTTATATCCAAGAGAGAATTTCAAAAAGGAGTACCAATACTCAGTGTATAAAAAAAAAAATTTGTATGTACAACTGAAAACTAGGATTGAGCCCACCGCCATAACTGGTGCAGCTCATCCACAGGAGGCATCTCCTTCATCAATCTGTTGAACGATTCGTCCCTGCACAAGGACGCATTTGTTCGCTGAACTGGCTCAATTCGGCTCTCACCGGAATGGCTCTTTGCCTGCCATTTTCGAAAGTGTAGTGGAAGAGGTTGTCCGCCGACTTTGGTGAAATGGCAACTGTGGAATCCTTGCCGGTCAGCTTCTGGACAACGGATTTGAAGCTCGCTGCGTCGGTTTTGACGTACTCTGTGTTTATGATCACCACCTTAACTGGTGTCGCATTTCCTCCTCTGCCCGACATTGCTGGAAAAAATTTCTGGGGACGGTGTAATATAATCGCGAGAAGACGAAGGTCAAGAACAAGAGATCTCTGCTTCTGCTATAAGTGTGGTTTCGGACGCTTCCTTTTGGCTTGTGTTCTGAGGAAAGATTGTTGCGTGACCTCTTATTTATAGGTGGACGACTCAACCGTGGGGAGAAACAGCCAACGGAAGCTATTTCACGTTGGAGTTTTATGAGAGTTTGAAAATGGAAGGGTCAACTTAAAAGCAAGGACATGAGTTGACCGCCGCAGTCATTTTAGATGATTTAATAAGCAGCAGTCTAGAAGGACCAGAACTAAAGGAGAGAGATCGGGTCAAAATTTAGCAATAAAGAAATGAAGAACTTCAACGGCCATGCATGCACGTAAGTATTGATCTCATCAATCAGCAAGAGAAGAACAATCAAAGAGGATGTGGGGGACTACTCCAAGAGGAAAGAGAGAGAGAGAGAGAGAGAGAGAGAGAGAGGAACGCAAGGGTGAACTTGAGCTGGCATCGATCAGGCGAAGAAGAAACCCAACGACAAGTCAAAGGCATGACCAGTCAGCCAAAAAATGTGAGTGTTTCAGCCTTCAGGCTCTATTTCGTGCTTGGGATTCAAGTAACTCCTGCTTTTTGCCCCGACGGAATGTCCATTGTCAGTGCAAAGGAGAAGGCTGGGGATTTAAGGTGAGTAAAATATAGCTATAGAAATTCCATGCAATGGGATGATCCTTGCGTCAAAATTATCTTTGGAATATATGTAACTCGGTTCATTTGAACTAGGAATTCTTCTTTACACTAACTTTGTTGATCTCATGGCATATGCAAAATGAGTTAGCTTTGCTAATTGAATGCCTTCCATGTGATCAATCATTGATACGCTTGTGAAAAAAAAAAAAAAAAGCCATCTATCGAGACCAACCTCATACTAATTCATGTTTTTGATAAGTACATAATGACTTTTCATATATTTGATCAGGGGTCGGGGTCAACTAGTAATGTTCTTATGCAATGATTGACTAAATGGAGTCGCCTAATTGACTCTCAAGCTATTTGACTACATCCAAGGTAAGAACAGCTACCAAAAACATACAGAGATGACATCACCGGTGATCACCGAGGTCTCTCCAAGCTATGGTCCGTTTTGCAGATCCTCGTTTGTCGTGAGCTTCTATGTGCCGAAAGAGAACCAAGCAAACCCGCCCCCAGCGGAAGGCCTCCATGCGCAGAGGTGGAAGCCCACTTACGTTGCCATTAGACAGTTTGGCGGATTCGTCGTCGACTACGATGTTGCAGTGGAGGCAGCCGCCTTGGAAGCCAGCCTTAGCGGCACTACTTGGGCTAATGCCACCCAGAAGAGCCGCGAGAAAGAGAGCAGCACTAGCGCTTCGGTTTACACGGTCACGCAGTATAATTCTCCGTTCGAGTTCGATAACAGAGTAAACGAGATATGGATGCTGTTCGACATGGAAGATGCTCCCTCCATATGAGTGAGAGAGTGAAGGATAGAGAAGTCTCTCTAGTCTTTACAGATAGTTTGAGTTTAGTGGAGAACTTGCACCTTGTTTGCATGCATCTTACCGAAGTAATGAAAAACAAAGTAGCTGCCATGGGATATCCTACTTTGATATGTTTGGATCGGGCACCGTATTCTTGTGAGTTCTCCATATAATTTTGTCTGTTCTTCAATTGAAATCGACAATTGATCTAAAATGCGAAATGCAGGCATTCCATGTTATATACGGACAATTCTATTGGTTTGTTCCGGGAAAAAACGGATTTTTTGTCGTGCTAGTAGATTTCTGAAACGATTGCTCACTGTCAAAAAATTGTAGACAAAAGAAAAATTATTTTGTTGACTTTCTGGTAATTAATTGGTAACTTTAGTACGCTTTTATAAAATTAATAGATCTTTTGGGGAGCTTGCAAATTACCCACTTTTTATCATTTACCAAGTTTTCTTTACCTTTTTTTTTAATTTCTTAAATTTGCCGACTCTTATATGAACTTATCAATATTTATTTGAGTAATGCACCAACTTTTTTCCAATTAAGTTCTCAAATAGTTTTGCAAAACCAACTTTCATTTGAACTACTTACCAATATTTAATTGATTTTTTTTAACTTATCGACTTTTCTTATCACTTACCTATTTGTTTTCTACAAACACGTTATATGTATTAATTTTAATATGAGTGTGTTAACATATATTTCTATGACTTACCGGTTTTTCCCCAATTAAATTATCAATTAGTTTTAATTTTTTTTATCACAATTGAGTTCTTATCAATATTTAATTGATTTTTACTAAAAGAATTATCAATTTTTCTATTAAATTTACCAACTTTTATTTTCATTGCTTATCAACCACGTAAAATTAGAACTTCTCTTCAAAAATTACCAACTTAGTGAAAGTGAATACTGACATTTCTTCAACTAAGTTACTAACTAGTTTTGCGTTATCAATTCTTGTTTTAGCTACCAACATTTATTTGATATTGTTAATTACCAACTTCTCTTATCTTTTACGAACTTTTATTTATCATTCTTATTGACGCCTTAAATTTCTCAACTAGTATATGAAATTACAAACTTTATTTGAGTGACTTACCACATTTTCTTTGATTGAGTTCTCAACTAGTATTTGGGTAAATTCTAATTTGAGTTGCTTAACTACATTTATTTGATTTTCTTTTCACAATTTACCAACTTCTCTTTAAAGTTATCAAGTTTTTTTTTCCTTACTTACCAACTTGTTTCATTTACAACTCTTTTAAAAGTTACCAACCTTAATTAGAGGGGAAAAGTGCCAAAAAAGTCCTAAACCTTTTGCATTAGTGCCAATTTAGTCCTAAACCTTTTTTTGGTGCCAATTCAGTCCTAAACCTTTTGCATTGGTGCCAATTTAGTCCTAAACCTTTTTTTGGTGCCAATTAAGTCCTAAACCTTTTAAATTAGTGCCAATTCAGTCCTAAACCTTTTATTTTTGTGCCAATTTAGTCCTTCGGTCAATTTTGACCGAATTTCTGTGGACATGTGCGGCGCGACATCACCGCGCGCGTACGGCCGACGTGGACAAAATAAATAATATTTTAATATTTTTTGAATTTTTATTTTTTCCTTTTTTTCTTTTTTTCCACTTTTTTTTGGCTTTCTCCTTCCTGCGGCCGGTCGCCGGTCCGGCGACCGGCCAGAGGCCAAAGGCCGGCGAGCTCGACCTCGCCGGCCACTGGGGAGGGCGGCCTCGCCGCGGCCTCCGGCGAGGGCTCGAGCCTCGCCACTCGCCCGACCTCGCCCGGCCGCCGGCGAGTCGGGCCTCGCCCGACCATGGCGAGGCTCGCCCTCGCCGCGGCCTCCGGCGAGGGCTCGAGCCTCGCCACTTCGCCCGACCTCGCCCGGCCGCCGGCGAGGTCGGGCCTCGCCCGACCATGGCTAGGCTCGCCCTCGCTGCGGCCTCCCGGCAAGGGCTCGAGCCTCGCCATGGTCGGGGAGGCCCGACCTCGCCCGGATCTCGCGAGGTCGAGCCTCGCCCGACCAAGGCGAGGCCGCCCTCCCAGGGGGCCGGCGAGGTCGAGCTCGCCGACCCGCGGCCTGGCCGGTCGCCGGACCGGCGACCGGCCGAGGAAGGAAGAAAGCCAAAAAAAAGTGGAAAAAAAGAAAAAAGGAAAAAATAAAAATTCAAAAAATATTAAAATATTATTTTATTTGTCCACGTCAGCTACGTCGGCGCTGTGACGGTCGCCGAGCTGCCCACGCCAGCAAATTCCGGTCAAAATTGACTGGAAGGACTAAATTGACACAAAAATAAAAGGTTTAGGACTGAATTGGCACCAATTTAAAAGGTTTAGGACTTAATTGGCACCAAAAAAAGGTTTAGGACTAAATTGGTACCAATGCAAAAGGTTTAGGACTGAATTGGCACCAAAAAAAGGTTTATGACTAAATTGGCACTAATGCAAAAGGTTTAGGACTTTTTTGGCACTTTTCCCTTAATTAGAGTAATTACTCACTTTTCTCCAACTAAGGTACCAAATAACTTTGCATAATCAACTTTAATTTGAGTTAGTTACCGACACTTAATTGGTGTTTTAGATTACCAACTTCTCTTATCTCTAACCAAAAAACTTTTCTTATCTTTTCAAAATTTTATTTACCTTTCTAAGTAGCAACTTAAACTTACCAACTAGTATATGAAATTATCAACTTTTATTTGAGTGAGTTACCAACTTTTCTCCAGTTAAGTTATCAATTAGTTTTGGTCACCCACACTTATCCAAATTGCTTAACAACATTTTATTTAACTTTTAATTACCAACCTTTCTATTAGCATAAAAACAAAAGTTAGTGAGGTAATATAAAAATTACTAATTTGAAAACTATGAAAATAGTTGGTGATTTCATAAAAGTGTTGGTTTGTTACAAGCAAATTAAAAATCTCCTTTTCTTTTACTGACAGTATTTTGACACTTACCTACATTTATTGAAAGTTATCAGCACGGAAATAAAATTCCTATTTGATGAAACTGAACAAAGAATCCTGCTAGTGCTTATAATATGATTTGGGCAACTATGGTGTATAAGTACTTAGAACGGAATTTTGAATAAATGGCACATATCCAAGCATTTCTGCATAAAATGATTTTGCAAATCTCAACCTTTATAGCCAAGACATAATTACAAAAAGGAGTACCAATACTCAATGTATAAAAAAAAATTTGTATGTACAACTGAAAACTAGGATTGAGCCCACAGCCATAGCTGGTGCAGCTCATCCACAGGAGGCATCTCCTTCATCAATCTATTGAACGATTCGTCCCTGCACAAGGACGCATTTGTACGCTGAACCGGCTCAATTCCGCTCCTCTCCGGCATGGCTCTTTGTCTGCCTCCTTCGAAAGGGCAGTGGAAGAGGTTGTCCGCCGACTTTGGCGAAATGGCAACTGTGGAATCCTTGCCGGTCAGCTTCTGGACAACGGATTTGAAGCTGGCTGCGTCGGTTTCGATGTGCTGCGTGTTTATGATCACCACCTTAACTGGGTTCGCATTTCGTCCTCTGCCCGACATTGCTGGAAACAATTTCCTGGGACGGTGTAATGTAATCGCGGGAAGATGAAGGTCGAGAACAAGAGATCTCTGCTTCTGCTATAAACGTGGTTTCGGACGCTTCTTTTGGGCTTGTGTTCTGAGGAAAGACGGCTGCGTTACCTCCTATTTATAAGTGGACAACTCAACCGTGGGGAGAAGCAGCCAACGGAAGCTATTTCACAAGCAAGGACATGAGAGAGATTGGGTCAAAATTTACGGTAACAAGAAAAGAAATGAAGAAATTCAACGGCCATGCATGTACGTGAGTGTTGATCTCATCGATCAGCAAGAGAAGAGCAATCAAAGAGCATGTGGGGGACAACTCCAAGAGGAAAGAGGAGAGAGAGAGAGAGAGAGAGAGAGAGAGAGAGAGAGGAACGCAAGGGTGGACTTGAACAGGCTTCGATCAGGCGAAGAAGAAAGGAAGACATGTCAAACCCGACGACAAGTCAAAGGCAAGACCAGTCAGCCAAATAATAAATAAAGCCAGTGTTTAAGGCTCTAATATTTTTTCTCGGGCATGGGATTCTGGTAACTCGTACTTTTAGCCGCCGATGAAAAGTCAACTGTTAGTCCAAAGGAGAAAGCTGGGAAGTTAAGGTGAGCAATGCATAGCTATACAAAATTTCATGCAATGAAAAATACTTGCGTGAAATTATTTTCGAATTTATGTAGCTAGGTCAATTTGAACTGAGCATTCTTCTTTACGCAAACAGAAAATGACACAAACAATCCCTGAACTTTAGCTTAATATGCAATTTGGTCCTTGAACTTTTAATTTATTCACTGCAGTCTCTGAAATTTAACCCAATGTGTAATGTAATCCCTTAACTTTTAATTTGTTCAATGTCATCCATAAACTTTTGGTACATGTTCGATTCAATCCCTGAATCATATATATGAAAATATTTAATGTAGTCCCTCCATTAATTCAAGTTCAGAGACTACATTGAACATTTTTATATAGTTCAAGGACTAAATTGAACATGTACCAAAAGTTTTAAGGACCAAATTAAAAATTCATGGACCAAATTGCACATTAGGCCAAAGTTCAATGACTGTTTATGTCATTATCCCTCACGTAAACATAGTTGATCTCACGAGATATGTAAGTCATCGATCGGAGATTGAACTCGCAATAATTCATTTTTTGATAAGTAAATAATTACTCTCAATATTCAAACGCACCATTTCTGAACAATGATCAAAGATCTGAAACTATTAGAATAAAAAAAAAAAGAGCTATCATGCGGTCCATATTTCCACCTTCGAAACACCACATATGGAAACTCCAGGTGATATTGATATAATTACCAGAAAATCAAGACGTCATATATTGCCCATATATTAAAATTATAGCAGCTTGATATAGTTCCCAAAAACATTAATAGCATTGAAAATATTGCAGAAGGCTACGATACCAAAGTGCACCAAGCTGTTTTATAGCGC